AGATGAGAGTTAGAATCACAGATGACCTTGAAGAAGGAGGATTTGCTGCTTTGCTTTTGAGGAATTTGAGTTTTAGTCTCAAGTCTCCAAAACATTAACCATGTTTATCCAAACATTAACACCATTTCATGGATTCAAACTGGCTTTGTGAGATCGCCATATTAGCTCCTAAGAATCAAACTGTAGACAACATCCTGGAAACTTCCAAAAATTTCAAAAGAAAGCATGAATTACTTTTCCATTGACACTGTGGTTGAACAAAAGCAGGGAGTGAATTATCTAACAGAGTTCCTGAACTCACTGAATCCTCCTGGAATGCAATCACACAAGCTAGAACTAAAAGAAAATGTGCAGGTCCAGGAAAGGAGGAAAGAGTTTTAATTCCAAGAATCCTCTTAATTCCTCCAGATCTTCCTTTTGAGTTCAAAAGACTTCAGTTTCCAGTTTCCATGCAATATCAATCAATACATCCCAAGGACAATCGTTAAAAATAACTGGACTTCATCTGATGGAACCCTGCTTTTCTTACAGCCAGCACTATGTTGGTTATTCAAGGGTTGGGAATAAAAACAAGCTATTTGTACTGACCCCGAATGGGAAAACCAAAAATCTTGTTTATCATGCAGCTTTGCAATTAGTTCCAAATTATTATTAGCTGACAAATTATATCATTGTTTTGATGAAAACTGTTGTTTGAAAAATATTGTTGAAGTTTAACAAAATTTAATATAAACTCAAATGCTGCCTGATAGGCTAGTTAGTAATAAATGTTTTTCCTTTTAAATTTTACACAGTAGTTGAGATTTATTTCATTATTTGCATCTATTTTGACCTCAAGGAGAAAAGAAACACAAGTTCTCTTTTCCTTTTCTATTCATACTAACTAGAATTTTGTGTTTGGCGCAAGAACTTAGATTTAGTAAGGAATTAAAATTTTTATAAAAATGAAATAAGTAATAAACTAAAGGTTGGATACCTGTTCTTTTTTTCTCCTTTTTCTCTTAAATAGCATCTTATTTTCTTTCACCATCAGTGACATTATTGCTTTGCCCCCAAGCAAGGCAATAATTCCACTGAGAGTGAAACGATTAAAAAACACAGAAAAAATTCTGACGTATTAAGTGATGTATTATCTGGGAAAATTAAGTAAGGAGGAACAGAACTGAAAGAAATTGACTACAAAGTGAACAACACTTAATAGTTTCAATACCTTAAGGCTCAAATTTGGATATGCAGGTGTTGTCATGGATAGCTACTTGGAATAAGAAATTGGACAGCTGAATTTGAATTTCATTGCATTCACTTGCACATCTCTTGACTCCACCTCCAACTATGAGCAAACTAGGCTCTTCAGCTTTGGGTGAACAGGAAAGATTGAAGGATGTTTTCATGTAAAAATTATTTTTCATTCTTGGGTGTTTTAACCAAAATGTTTTGGGTTCTATAAAGAACCCAGAACATTTTGGTTAAAAAAAAAAAAAAAAAAAAAAAAAAAAAAAAATTGAATTGTAGGAAATTCTTTCAAGTCAGATAATTGTTGGATTTAATTGAAACTTTCAAGACTTATTCAAAAATTAATAGAATTATTTCTGAATAATTCTGGTTTTATTTTAATGAAACTTACTCCCTCAACAATTGAAATTCTGATATTTTTTTTTGTATCGAAAAATTTAAGGACAAGTCCTCAGAGAATTTTGAATCAAAATCTTTGGGTCAACAGGACCTCTAGTTAAAGAAAAATCTACCTTCATTCTTGAAATAAATAGTGATAAATAAATGATAATAAATAAGTGATTATGATAATTTCTTAATAAAATAGTAACACAAAGGTTTTGACGATAATTTTATTATTTTTTGGAGATTTTTTTCATCATGTACCCACCTCTTTTTTTTTTTTTTTTTTAAACAATACTACAAAGTAATAATATTTTTTTTTTTCTACATGATAAATATGATCTTATTTTAATTTTTGTTTGACAGGAAGAAAGTTTTTTAATTCACAATTTATTAACCAGATTTAAACTAAACTTAAAATAAAAAGTAAATCTATTTTCAAATTAATCCTTTGTTAGTGTACTATCGCTGGATATCATTTTTGTTTTAAATTAAATATTTTTTCTTTTTGCATTAACAATTATGCAGAAAATCACTACCGTAAAGAAATGTAAACTTTTTTTTTTTTTTGGTAAGTTTAGTTTTATTTATAACAAAAACAAATTAAATAATACAATAAAACCTTTTTTCCTTTTCGAATAGCAATGACAAATTAAATAATAAAAATAAAGCATTTTTTATATTGCAAAATTGAAAATAAAAAATAATTAATTCACAAACTTGGTAAATTATTTCTTTTACCATTTTTTTACCTAAAAAAGTTTTAGACACGAAGGTCATCCTGAAATCACCCCTTACCCAAAAGAAGTGGGCAAGATTCACATGAAAAAAGAATTACCTCAGTTAAAATCATTTAAGTGCTTTAATAATTTATTATAAGGTTTTACTTTTTTTTACCATTTTTTACTATTTGGCGAAGTCATAAAATTTGGGCCTATTTACTATTGTATTATTACATTTTACCATTGTATTTCATTTGTTTTTAAATTGTCCCCATTTCTACACAGAAAACCCCACCCCTGACCTTAACAACTAACCATAAAGTTAGGTTATGGTTGGGGTTTTCTTTCTGTGTAGAAAAGAGGACAAAAATTAATGTTTTTTATATTTTAATTTGTCCCCTTTTCTACACAGAAAGAAAACCCCCACCCCTAACCTTAACACCTAACCATAAAGATTAACTTTAGGGTTAGGTGTTAAGGTTAGGGTGGGGTCTTCTTTCTGTGCAGAAAAGGGAACAAATTAAAAAAGATTAACTTTAGGATTAGGTGTTAAGGTTAGGGGAGGGATTTTCTGTGTAGAAAAGGGGACAATTTAAAAACAAATGAAATAATACAATCAATCCTTCTACTTTACCAAGTTTGTATATTAATTTTTGTTTTATTTTCAATTTTACGATATAAAAATGCTTTATTTTTATTATCTAATTTGTTCTTTTAATTTGTCATTGCTATTCGAAACGGAAAAAAAGTTCTATTGTATTATTTAATTAAGGGGACAAATAAAAAAAATAAAAAACATTAAATAATTTACCAAGTTTGTGAATTAATTATTTTTTATTTTCAATTTTACAATATAAAAAATGCTTCATTTTTATTTTTTAACTTGTTCTTTTAATTTGTCATTGCTATTCGAAACAGAAAAAAGGGTTCTATTGTTTTATTTAATTTGTTTTTGTTATAAATAAAACTAAACTTACCAAAAAAAAAAAAAAATTTACATTTCTTTACGGTAGTGCGTAGTGATTTTCTGCAAGGAAAGTCTGTAAAAGAAGTAAATTTTATGACTCCGCCAAAAATCTTTCCGCAGTGAATTATTTCTCAATAAGCCGGTAATGGCTGACGAAAGACCGAGAAGAAGTTCGATTTTTTCTGGTCGTTAACATCCAAAAAGGTAGGTTTCTTCATGATCTATTTGTTGATTCGAGTTCAACATGTACATTTGCACGGAAAGACTATTTTGGAAAAATTTGAAGGGATATTAGTGCTCAGGAAACAAAATAGAAATTTACCTAAAAATTTCCCGAATAGTTAATTTAGGTGTACATACTTAATTCGAAAATAATAAAGAAATTTTGATAAAAATCTACCGTTTAGAAGTTATCGACAATAAAATTTCGGACTCATTCGCGTTACAGCACAGCAACCATTACTGGTGTTGTTTACATACATTCTCTGCTGATTAGATTTGCGCGGAAGATTACCTTGTTACAGTTTTATACTTGACTCAATTACTGCGCAACTAAGGACTCAATGTATGCACAATAATTAAGACTATTCCGCACTAAATATATGCAAACAACGCCAGTAATGGTTGCCGCGACGCAAATGAGTTCGAACTTTTATTGTCGATAACTCCAAAACGGTAGATTTTATCAAGATTTCTTTGTTATTTTCGAATTATGCATGTAAATTTACACCTAACTATAACTATTTGGGAAATTTTATTAGATACTTAGTGCGGGGCTTAAAAAGCAAATTAAACCTAAAAAGGGTAAGGTAAGAAGCTTAAAAAAAAAAAAAAAAAAAAAAAAAAAAACCAAGTAAACATTTTATTATTTTATTTTTACCTTAAGAAAAAGGAAGACGTCCTACTTCGAACTTTAACAAATTTTTTTTTTTTTTTTACTTTTGCGACCTAGACCCCGATCCTAAAATGCAGCTTATCCAGTTTTGCTTAGGAAAAAAAAAAAAAAATGGACCAATTTTTCGAACAGTAGAATTCAAATAATTATTTAATTCTCTCTACTATCAGTTGTCTAGTGACACTATTGGAGAATAATAGTTTTTTTAACTTTTAAAAACCTTACAATACAACTACGCGTGGTAATGAGAAAGCAAGATACATGATGATGAATTGCTATATAAATTAAACTTAAAAAAAAAGGAACAATTTGAAATTAAACAACGGTTTACACACATTTACGTGCACACCTAACCAAAATTCAACTTAATTAAAGACTAAGTAACGTTGTTAAAAATTTAACGAATTGAAAAAAAACATTAAAACACATTTTTAAATTTAAGATTTAGTATTTTGGCATTGTAGACGGAAAATAACCAAAAGTCAAAACATAACTGAGTGAGTAGTAGTAATCCAATGTGGTAAATACAAAGTTAATAATACTTAAAAACAATATAACTTTTCAAAACTTTCTTACATTTAAAATAAAAATCATTTTAAATTTAAAATGTAAATATCGTTATTTTTTTTTTTATTTGTAAATTTTACTAAGCTCGTTACATTATAGTTCAACTGTAAATTTCAAATTTGTTAATGTGGAAATTTTGTCAAAATGTCTTTTAATTTGAAGGAGTTAACCGGAAATTTATAAATCAAAACAAAATCCAACTATTCTCATGGAAATTTGAACTGGAGCTTCTTACCTCACGTTTTTTGTAATCTCATAACTGTTTTTAAGAGTCTCAATTGTCAAACTTGTGGATGACGATATGCTTGCATCATGTTTAATGCCTTTTCCTATTTTCGAATCCGTTTTTCCAAGGGTATAAACAACATGACTGTCGAAAATTAAATAAAAACTTAATGTTGTTATAATCGTGGAGAGTTGCCACGTCAGTCGCGCCATCTTTATTATTGTTATTATTGGCCCGATTGAACAGAATTGTTTCTTGTTGAGGTTGTCGTTAATCGGTTCTGCAGTAACATGACGAAACGGAAGTTGTCAGTAAGTTACATAAGTGAATGAAAACGAGGCTGTTGCTTCGTTTTTTGTCGCAGCTTCCTCATCTAATGCAGCCATATTGATTGTGTTAATCAGCGAAGCAAACGGAACAAAAGAGTAAAACTTAGGTAGGTAAATTTCTTTATTCCTTAAACCACTATATTACAGTAGAAAATAGAATCAACCATCCGTATTCCTCTTTACTCAATTATAAGATAATTTTACTGGAGAAAACTAAAATACAAGTCGCTGTTTTACTGTATTTTTTCTTGCTCCTCCCATTTTGATCTAAAGAAATTTCCTTAATTTGCAAAAGAGCAAACAAGTCTGTCGAAAGGAATATATATATATATATATATATATATATATATATATCGAGAGAAAAGAAGTTAATAATGTAGAATTAATACATTGTTCAAATCTTGAGTACCTAAAATATGGCGACTTCAGATTTATCGATTGACCCGGCCGAATCACTTATGTATATATTTTAGTTAGGAAAGGTCGCATATCGTTATTTTTTATTATTTATAACATTATTTTCTTTATATGGCAATACAAAAATAGTTTTAAGTTATGAAAATGAATTCAATGAATACACTTTTCGTAATCCATATATCTAACAATTGCCAAGAGAATTTGATTTAGGTTGTTAAATATGTTTCTCGTTATACAACATGATGTCTTGAAAACAAACTCGAGCACGTACAGAGGATGTGAAGATTGTTGTTCTAAAAAGAATGTATATACACATACGTATGTGTATGACGAAAGTAAGATCGGTAGAAAGGTTCTGATTTTTTAAAACTATGTATTGAAAAATGTAGCGTACGGGCTAGTAAACGAAAAGTTTAATCTTTTAGGCACAGAAATATAAAATGTTTTGTTTTTATTGCTCTTTTCAAAATTAGTTTAAATGCCTAATTAAAAACCTTGCAATTGTAACAGGCGTTGAACTAAAAGAAAATACTTTTTCATTTTTTTCTTTTTATAATTTTCCACTCTGAAAATTATTCAGATTACACCTGAACAAAGTACTTGATAAACATTACAAAATAGATTTTTGTTGCGCATTTTATTTTTATGTATATTTGAAACTACAATATTTTTGAGTCTTTTCTCCTTGAAAGCTACTTTTGTTGCAAAATGGATTTTTAAAAGGCAAAAAATCGCTAAAAAAAAGGATACATGCCCCAAATAAATTAAAATCTTTATCCTTAAGAAGGAAGGTACAAAGGATGTTTTTTTAATCCTTTTTAAAATCTTGGAAATTTTGGTTTAAAATTTTTTTTCTTCACTTTGCGTCAACGAGAGACTTCAAATTTGTGCAGGAAGTTTTGTTTTTTTGTTTTGTTTTTCGGTGAAAAACATCGATTTGGGAATGCTTGCAAAAATCAGTTGTTAGATTTTGATGAAACTTTCAAGACGTTGAAATATTCAGAAATGAATTATTAATTATTTCTGAAACGTTTCTTTTTTATAATATTCAAATATTCGCTATGAATCGCGCATGATGAAAGACTGTCCTTAATAATAAAAAAAAAAATGTACAAAGTTTTATACATTAAAACAAAATCTTAATATTTTGATGACGATTTTTTATTATTTATAATTTATTATTTTAGAAGCTTCAATAGTTTGATTAAAATAAAAATATTAGCTTTCTAGCGTGAGGTGGGTGAGCGTAAATTTAGTGTGGCAAATTTTAGCGTTTTTTTATGTATGTGTGTGTGTGTGTAAATATGCCAATTTTGGTAAATACAGGCGGCCATGCACAACATTATCAGGAAATAAGAGCAGTAACTACAGTAAATTAAAAAAATTTTGTTAATTCTCTAACATTTCTTCAACAAGCATCTAAATATCTAAAATAAAATATTACATTTACTTATTTTTTCTTAAATTTTTAAGATTTCAGGTTAGTTTAAAAACAAAAATGATATAAAAAACGATTTCATGTTTTGTCAAGGCAGTTGTCAACATCTCCATAAAAACATCCAACCTCCATGATAAAAATGCTTTCAACTAAAAAATATTTCAAATCAGATTAGTTAAACCTTTCAAACAGCAAATCTTCCTTCAATGAAATTACAGTGTAAAGTATATTTTATTTTTGAAAAATGTTTTGATAAGAGGAATTACATACCAGGAGGTTTGTAAAAACTGCTAAAAAATCAGCCAACATTAAAAAAAATCATTCCAATCAATTTTAATTGGCTTTGAAATGCATCAACATATTTTGTTTATTGGAAATAACAAATTTAATCAATTAACTTGAAATTAAGACTAAAATGAAAGCTTCACGAAAGATATTTTATATTGAAAATTTCTTGGTACCTTCATGAGATCGCTAAAAAAAGAGCATAGCATGATGAAAAAGATTTCCGAACTTGACGAAAACAAAATTTTATCATCTGAATGTTACTATTAAGAAAAAAGACCAAAGTTTTGGGGGGGTTTTTTTTTTTTTTTTTTTTTTTTTTTACATTTTTTTAATCGTTCCTAGCATGTCCAAAATTTTGATGAAAATCTCAGTTTCAAATTCTTTTAAAAATCAATTATAATTTTTTCAAAACATATTTTAAGAAAATTAGAAATTATAATCTTTACTTAAAATATTTTGAAACAAGCATTACTTAGTTTCTGTGCTGAAAAGAAGTACTTTAAAAATAAAATAAAGCAGGTCATAACATTTCACATCACTTGATGACTTCATCGCGTTTTGACAGCTTACATGAGAAAAACTTATATGGGTGGACAGAAGTGATATTTAGAAGTTACTTAGATTGAAGTGAACAAATTATTTACCTTGTTATTTTTAAGGAAAACTTTCAGCACTTTTTTTTTTTTTTTTTTTACTTAGCTTTCACCTTTACACTTACAATGTTTTGTGGAACATATAAAAAATTAAAATAAGACTGCTGAGAGTGAGATTAAATTTCATAAGAAATTAGATACCTTTCTTATGAAATTTTATCAGAAGTGTACATAAAATACTATAATTTTATGTACACATATATCATAAAATTTCATAAGATGATACCCTTCTCAGTTGAAATTGAAAAATCAAATTAACTTCTCCACACGTTTCACAAAAATAAAGGCCTTAACAGTAGAAAACAATGCTTAACTCGAATAACACAACTTAATTGTGTTCTTGCTGGTCTTCCGTACTTTATAATTACAGCCGTATTATAAACACAAAATTAAATTTTTTTTAAAATTACTGCGGGGTCTTCTGATTTGTCCAAACTATACAATTTACAATGCGCTGAAAAAGGATCTATCTCATAAGGATATTTACAAAACTGAATACGGCTTTTAAATAATTTTATAATATTTTAACAACTTAAATGTAAAAATCTAATATAATTAAAGAAATAGCAAATAATTATATTAAAAATTCGTTTTTCATCAAAAAAAGTTTTTTGCTTTCAGAAAATATTGTCCATATTCATAAAAACAACTAAAATCAAATAAAAGCATTTGAAATTAAATAATATCTCTGCTTTATTGTGTTTTGTATGTTACAATTCACAGCTGATTTGGAATATCTTGCAAAAATCAAGTACTTGTCAGATTGTAATGTAACCTTCAGAACTTATTCACTAATGAATGAAATTAATATAAAAATGTGTTTTTGGAAGTCATGGTATAAATATTTTTTTTTAATATATATATCTATTACCCCACCCCCTCCAACTTAATTTTTGTGAAAACTTCAAAAAATTTTTATTTGCAACCTTAATTTTTTTTTAATTAAATGCACATGACTCTGAAGAATGTAAATCATCAATTTATTTTGTAAAAAATGCACAAAATTATCCAAACTTTACCTCAATTGTAAAAAATAAAAACCAAATCAAACTAAGGCAATATTTAATTAAAAAAGCTTTTAATGGCTTTTCTGAATAACATATACTAAGGTAATTTTTATCTGAAGTAAAAAAAAAAAAAAATTTTGATGAAAAATGAATTTTAACAATTTTTTTTTTTTTTTTTAAATTTTAAATACATAATATGATAAAAGGTTATATATTTTAAAACTAAGTTACTTTTTGAAACTTAATGGAAATGACGTGTTTTCTACTTTTTAAAGATCTGAAAATCACACCTATTTTTAAAATAATTTTATTAATATTCCAAAAACCATCTCCGACAAAAGTATGGATGCACAGCTTTGCAATAATGCCACATAATGTAGAGTTGTTTCCCTTGATAGAAGCCAGTTGTTTTTTACTTCAGAAATTGCATTTGTTCAGTCAATTTGGCTTAATTTTTCCTTATTGCTGCTTTTTTTTTTTTTTTTTTTTTTTTGAGAAAAAAGGGACACACTCCTGGTTTCCATTGGTTAGGAATTGCAGATAAAACTTTCGCCTTTTACTAAAGATTTCCGTGGCCAGGTGTCAATTTTTTTTTTAACCTCTCACAGCCATATAATCGAAAATTACCGATTTTGACCCCCAGGAAAGTTGTTTCCTTCAAACTCAATTTTAATGCCTGATATATAGTTTGATTATGATTTAGGCTTACTGATTTTCTCAAAATAAAAATGATTAATTTCCCTCTCCCTCAAACGTAAGGTAAAAAAAAAAAATTGTAAGTGTATTTTATACACTAGCCAGGTTCACTTAAAACTAGAGCAAAATATATCACTTCTTCCCTACCATCCTATAAATTCCCCTGACGTAAGTTGTTGATATATTGACGTACATCAGTTAACACCTCTCATACACGCGCAAAAGGAAGCACCACAGTTGGAAATATCTCTTTAAAAATTTTCGGATAAAAAAAAAAGCAAGTAATGTTTCTTTCAAATTACATTAAGTATACTTTAGGTTTTCTAATTTTTCTGAGATAACAAAAGGGTGTAAGTGAATTTTACAGGATTTTTAAACTAACTT